TTAATGTCTGAATAGCTCATAACATCCTCAGTTACTTAAAAAAAGCATACTTAATATTGTCCATGAATGCTTAATAAAATAATAAAATTACTTTTTCCACATGAAAAATCTTTCCTTCATTCCCCATATATTTCATAGGGTCCAAAATAATAAAAACAAAACTTGGGATATGGTAAATATCAAAAAACCTAGTTGTTACTATTATCACTGTTATTACTAAATTAGTAGTCACAGAAAGTTACAAAACCAAACAGACAGAAGCCTTTAGAGCAATAAACAAAGCAGTAGGCAATATATTGAAGACAGCGATCCACTTCATTAGTTTGCTAGGGCTGCCATAACAAATTACCACAAATTGCATGGCTTTATAATATAACTTTATTGTCTCACGCACAGATCTGGAGGTTAGGCATCCAAGATCCAGGTGCTAGTAGGGTTAGTTTCTTCTAAGAGCTTTGAAAAAGAATTTGTTTCCTGCTTCTCTGCTAGCTTCTGGGATTTTGCAGGAAATCTCCAGCATTCTTTGACTTCTCAAAGCACCACCTCAATCCCTGCCTTCATCTCCACATGGCTTTCTCTCTGCATGTATATCTGTCTCCAAATTTCCCCTTTTTAAAAAGACACCTGTCATGCTGGATTAGTGCCAATCCTAATGACCTTCTTTTAATTTGATTACCTCTGTAAAGATCCCATCTTTATATAAGGTCACATTCTGAAATCTGAAAGGTTAGGATTTCAACAGATGAATTGCAGGGAGCCACAATTTAACCAATAACACATCATAACCCATTAATAAGTAATATTTCATTGGGTATTTCTTAATAAGTCACATTTTTACATAGTGGTTAATCATTCTCATCATTTTTTTTCATGAACAAGTTCTAGATACTTGTATTAGAGATCCAATGTGCATTCTTCACTCTTTATTGGGTACGCTTATGTTTAATTCATAGCAAACTGTTGTTCACAGTGATCTCAAGAATCTCTGTTACCGCCTATTTTCCCGAGTTCAAGGTACCCTGTCATCAATAATTAGCTATGACAGACAAGGAACACCAGGTGAGCAGATACAACTTAAAAAAAAATTGCTTTAAATAGGTTTTTCCCCCCCATGTTATGGCTATGTCATCTAAAGTCTCCTATGGCAAAATTGCTTCACGTTGTTAAAAAAAGAAACCTTCATAGGCTTAAACAAATATGCCAAGAATGAGACGGAGAACAAATCACTGAGGCATTCATTTAATTAAAGTTGATGTCTGCATCTTTTTCTGAGTTTATTGATATTGTATATTGTTATTGACTTGAGTAGGGTGAACTTTCCATAGCATTAACCATGTGGTGAACTGTAAACTTGTAGCTATACCAAAGAAAAACTAATGCATGTTCTAGGTCACAGATACTGCCAAACCCACTGTTATTGCAATCAGATTGTTTTATTGAAACTATACAAGTACTCACATACAGAAATAGTAGGTGTCGGTAAAAGGTTGAAAGATATGAGCTTGTTGTTTGTTTTTGCTCTAAACTATACACTTGCTCTTGTTTGCTCTGACTAAAGTGTCATCATGAAGGAAAGCAGGGCTGGCCTGAGGTCAAATATCTGAGTGGTCAAATTTACCAGCTCCCTTTTTTTCAGCTTCTTCTTCTCCTCCTCTTAGGATCGCCTCCTGCCCAGAGCACAGTTATTAAATATTGTCATCTTTTTATGACTGCAAGTCTTTCTAGCTCCAGCTTTTCAAAGGGAGAGTGGTATGATACAAACACTGATAAAGTATATTTTATTGAATACATGAATGAATGAATCAATCAGTGAGTGAATTTCGTCCAACCAGCACTGACTTTTTTAAAAAACAACAACTATTTTTATTAATTTCATTGATTTCAGAGAGGAAAGGAGAGGGAGAGAGAGATAAAAACATCAATGATGAGAATCATTGATCGGCTGCCTCCTGCATGCCCCCTACTGGGGATTCAGCCTGAAACCCAGGCACGTGACCAGACCTGGAATGGAACCCTGACCTCCCAGTTCATAGGTCAATGCTCAACCACTGAGCCACACTGGTCGGGCAAGCACTGACTTCTTACTGTTGAAAATCCAAAATTAATTTCCCTTTCCTTATTTTTTACTACGTTTAGTGTCTCCAGTTTGTCTAGTTATAAAAATGTAAGATTACAAGTGTAATAATTAACAGTATTAATAATTTACCATCCAAAGTTATTTGCTTTCCATTTAAATGAATCTCTGCTTTGTAGCATTTCAGCCACTGTGGTAAGAAAAGCCTTAGGCTGTCACTTAAGTCTATTTTTTGGTTGTTCTCCAAGTAGCAAATCCAGTTCTGAGAAGAATGTCTAGGTGCATAGCAGACACATGATATAAGTGTATTTACTGACTGATGAGAAAAGATGAGAATTCAAACATTGGGATATTATCTTAAATATGAAAGTCTGGGTTGTGTTATATTTCACTGAACCCAAGATTTTTACATCATCAATAAAAACTGGGAAAATGCTCAGTATTTCCTGATAATCTCAACTAAGTAGTTCAGGTTGATGAGATCAAGTTTTGATCAGAGACAATGATAGTGAGAAGTGTTTCTCCATTTCAGGCATCAATAGTGGACAGTTTCCTGGCAGCCTGGGAAAACAGGATGTTGTGTGGCAATGTGACAGAGCAGATTTTTTTTACAGGAAAAGGGGACTTGAAAGTTAAGTCAAAAACTGGTTTTAGGATATAGTTGAAACGCCAACTATTATTGGTCCTATCTATTTTGGTCTTTGCGAATCCAAGCTTCTTATTACCATGGGAATATTTAAATGAAATTGTGTAGATATGAATAAAACCCCCTAGTCTGAAGTCATGAACTACATTTCCTAATGACAGTAAATATTTCAAAACATCTTCCTGCCAAATATTCTAGTAAGCATTATCTATCTTACGAAAATCCTAAGGCGATACTCTGTACTAAATTAAACTAGGCTTTATTTCCCACAACTGCCAAAAACATGACAAAAGTTCATGTTCTCTTTATCCAGACTTCTGGACTGGGACTTCTCAATGAAACTTGTTCCAGAGACATAATTGTTTGGGTCTTCCCTGCATGGAGTTCCTCAACATATTACTGAAGTAGAGATGAAAAGGTAATAAGGAAAATACTTCTAACATGTGTCAAGTTGTCAACATTATCAAGAACACTTTCAAGATCGTCTTAGGTGTATAAGCACTACACAAATAAAATAGACAAATTTCCCGCCCTTTAGAAATCCTCAGTCTAAGATAAAGTACTTGAAACTAACATTAGAATTACAGAGTCAATGAATTTAGAACTTGATAAATATTTAATGATGACCAATATGAACTTTGAGGCTCAGGAATCAATACAATGTTCTAACTTGATGAGTCTAAACTAGAATCCCGTTTTCTGGATTATCGGTCCAGGACACTATCCATTCGCTTAAGCATCCAGATTTCTTAACTGTTCGTTTCTAGTGCATAGGAGTACACTTTTCCATCCTGAACTTCCGTTTCCGTGCTGATAAAAACCTTTATCTTTGCAGATGTGAGTGTGTAGGACCGAAGAAATAACCAATCTCCAGAACCAACACAGCGAGCCTTTATTGCCACTGCAATGCGCTCATCTCTGTAGGAAATGGGAGTGGCATAGACCTGGTCTCTGGTTGGTTCCATTCAGATGCATTCTTACAGGAAGCCAAGAAGATTAAAGAAACTGAGGAGGGATGGGAAATACGTATTTTGCTATCGTGCATTTTTGCTTGGAGTTGGTTTTCTTCCAAACTGTAGCAACCCCCACAGAGAGGATTTTGGTTTGTTATTCCTATTGAGTATAATATTAGAGTTACAGTATCATCTTCTGTGTCAGCTAAAAACCAAAAATGGGAAAAACTATTTAGAAGAAAACAAGTGGAAGTATTTAGCTAAATACACTTTCATGTTAAAAGGTCTTGACTGTGTGTTGCTTTGTTGTTACTGATGGTGTTTGGGTGAGATCAGTAAATAGGAGAGCTCTTTCTCATCAATAAATGTGTTTAAGTTAGAATCAGAACTTTAAAAATAATCATTTATTAAATTATGAATAATTTATTGATCCTTTTTAAAATGATCGGCTATCTACTGCATGGCCCCCACCAGGGATCAAGCCTGCAACCCAGGCATGTGCTCTGACCAGGAATCAAACCAGCAACATTTCGGTGCAGAGAACAACACCCAGCCAACTGAGCCACACCGGCCAGGGCAAGTCAGAATCAGAGTTTGCAGAATGGTAGCCTATAGTCAGATTGGGTCTTCAGGTCTATATTCTTTGAGTGGCACAAAATTTATTTTAATTGTCTTAAGACCCCTTTAACAGGAACATATATTCTCCATATCTCCGCAGGCCTCACCAATCCATATAACTTACATCTGGATATTTCATTCTTTTACATTACCCCTGGCCCCTGAAAGCATTAAAGTTCACAGTCCCTGGGATGGGTATTACTGTTATTTCTGTTTTCTCCTGAGAAGAAAATACCAAGATAGAAAAGGAGTAAACCTTAAAGGTAAGGGGGGATGGGAAGAAGCCACTGAAATTATTTGCAGATAGCTAAACAATTTCTAAAATGTAAATGGAGGATGGAAATCTATTGAAGTATACAGCCGAATAATAAAATAACTTTCATAAAAAACCAAGATTTCAGAAGACAAGAAGAGAGGACCACCCTGTCCAGGAGGTCCCTTGGGTAGCAGTTAGAATCGCCTTTGGCTGGATGTCACAAAATCCTAAGTGCTGTGTCTCAGAACTCCAGAGTCAGCTCAAGGCTGAGACACTGCTACAGGGAGTCATCAGGACTGGCTCCTTCTCCTTTCCAACTACTTTCCCAAGTGTGTAGATTTTGTTCTTATGATTGCAAAGTGGCTCTTTTATATCCAAGCAGATGTCCCAACCCAGATATGAACAAGGGGATAGGCCAAAAAGGAAAAGATGCATTCTTACTTTTGAGCACAAAAAATTTTAGCTTTTTAAAAGTCTCATCCAGTAGATTCCTACTTGCATTTTATTAGTCCGAAGTGCCTTGCATAGCCAAATCTAGCTGGAAGGTAATCTCAGAAAATTAGTACTTCTATCTGAACATCTTGAAAATAGTTAGGGTTCTGTTGCTTAAAAAAAAAGAAGACAAGAAAAGCTTTGAAGTAATTTGTTATTAGCTAACAATTAAACAGCATGTTCTACATGCCAAACACTTTACATATAACACATTTAATGCAGGCAACCTCTGCATTAGACGCCATTATATTTCCACTTCGAATATAAGTAAACTGAAGCATACAGACCTTTAATAACACACAAAAGACCACCTAGCTAAGAAGTGGCAGAGCCAAGGTTTGATCCAAAGTACTCTGTCTTCAGATACCATGATAATACCACATTGTGTGAAAGACACACCCAAAGAGGCACAAGAGTTAGAACTGGCAGCTACACAGAGGGTGGCAGGGATGCTGTTAGCTAAACTGAAAGTCTGCCTTCTAAACCACACCACAGGGGGACAATCCTATTCCTCACCCACATTTCCCACTCCCCCTCCATCCATTTGACTCCAGAATGAAAGATAAAAAGATTTTCGATCACTTAGTATCACTTAAGACTCTTTCAGCTTCGAGTAACAAAAAAGCAAAGCAATACTAATGGCATAAACAATAAGAAATTGTATTGGGGCATATAATGGGAAATCTACCAGTAAAAGCGAAATAGCTAAGCCTAGTCTGACCGGACTTCAGCTCCATTTGAACACTATTTTCTTTGCTATTCACTCCTCTGTGAGTTAGCCTTGTTTTAGAGGTAGTTTTCCTCATTATAAAAAATAGATGACAGAAGTAAGTGATGCAGTATTTTCCTCGTTTCTTTCTTGAAGGAGAGAGAGAAACAAATTCTCTATAATTCTCTCTTAAGAGCAATTAAGGACTCCCTCCCCCCAGAAAAGCTTCCACCCACTCTCCCAGGTCCAGAATTGGTTCCCTTGCCTATTCCTAAAACAATTACTAGCGTGGTATAGAACTGTAAAAGTCCAAAATAGAAAGTTAATGAGGAAATAAAGGAAACAACAACAAAAAAATCATTGAAGTGAAGAGTAAATAACACACAAAGTGTCTGACTAGTATAAGATTTCCGATCAAGGAATACTAAATGCTGGAATACAGAAGAGTATATTCTCAAATTTATTAGGGTAAAGATATAATTTCTAACCCTAGAATTATATTCCCAGCTAAACTATCAACCAAAGACGAGGGCAAAATAAATACTTTTTCACATACATAAATATTCACAAGTTTCATTTCATATGTACAACATTCTGAGGAGGTCATTTAAGGATATATGTCAGAAAAATGAGAATAAAAAGAAAAACAAAAAAAGTATGGAATACAAATAACTGGTATCCTTGAAAGTGGGATGTAGGTGGGATAGGAAATACAAGGATTGGTGAAAATCTGTGTAAGAATCAATGATGCCCTGAAATTTCTTTTCATACTATGCTCCAGGTGTCAGCTCACCAAAGTGGTCTGAAGACTGAGACTTACTCTTTAGAGGTTAAACCCAGAGGGATTTTGTATTCAGTGATAGTAACTGAAGTGGGAACACTGTAGTGAAAGAAGGGATTATACTGAACAGTGAGATACTAAAGCTCCTTCTTCGACTGAGTATTAGAGATTTTCTCTTTGGGGAATGTGTTGAACCCAAGAGATAAATACTTAAAGGTATAGACAGGGACCTCCAGCTACAAGGTTCCCACCCTAACCTCAAAACCCAAACCCCACTCTCTCCATATACACAATGTACGTTTAGGTTTTTAGTGTCTCAGTCATATTAGAAAATAGAAAACCAAGAATAACTAAAGATATATGAGAAAATTCCACATGAAAGACAGGTACTAAATTATATAGAAAAAATAAAGAAGCACTAAGGAAACATAAAATTTTCAGGGAAATAAATATTTCCAAAGAAAACCTATAATTACTGGCCTCAGAGAGATAAAACAAGAGGAAATAAGGAGAGGAAGCTGAAAAAGAACTGTTTAAGAATCAAAAAAGAAGTCTAAGAAATTAAAATATGATCACATAAAAAAATTCAGTGAAGATGTGGAAGACAGAGAGAGCTAAAGAAATTTTCCATAAAATACAAAAGTGGCCACTTCTCAGAACAACAGCGGAAATAGAAGTCAGTGAAGCCCTGTGTTTAAAATCTGAGGGTGGTGCGTGACATCAGCAAGATAATTGAATAAGATGTCCCTTGCCATGTCCCCCACAGAAAACAATTTGGTAACCATCCAGCGCCACATGCCAACACCCGGGAGAAGTGTTGCCCACCTATGAATTGGGTGTTAAGCAAACAGACCTTGGTCCTGGTTGTGGATCCTGAAGTGGCCCATGAACTGGCTTCAGGCTCTCTTGACCAGGATCCAGGAGCCCTGGAGCACACTGATCTAGGCGATCACCCATGGATGAGCGAACCTTTCTGGAAGTCCAGGAGTCCAACAGAGAAGTTCCAGTACGCTGTTGGAGCAAAAAATATCCAAATCAGGCAAATTGAAAAAAGTGAGAGGAACAGCTTGACATTCCCACATTACCCCTCTTCCAAGGTGGCACAGCTCAGTGCCAAGAAAGCCCTCCTCAGCCCATGACCCTTCCCACGAAGTGAAAGTGAATGAGTGCCTAGCTTCCCAGCGCTGTGGGAAGCTGCCAGGGGCCAATTTCTCTCTCAACCAATCTAGAATGCTGAGTCATGAGCTTCATGACTAAGGGGCCTAAGAGGCTGGGAGAACATCGGCGAACTCTCAAAAGGTATCAAGGGGAATAGATCTTACTGAGTCATGCACTGCTGATATGCCTCACCTGTGGGTACCCACAACGGGCCCATGGGCACCCATAGCATACTGTGCATCACATGCACACACTCCCCATCCCATGGTATGTGCTTCTGACGGTAGCAAAAGCAAGTTTTGACAGACAGCTAGTGAGCATGTGCATAAAGATGAACTGAGTCTGTGGGCCACAAAGAGACCACAAACTTGAGCATTTAACATTACCTTCGGGAAAGCAAAAGGAAAGCTGTCAGTAACGGGCCTGTTGAGAAGCAGGATGGAGTAAAAGCATAGATTTAGAAGCTTAACAATTCTGCCACAAGAGGGAGCAAGAAGCGTGAAGCATATGTATCCAAATAATGTTTGAGAACGCCTCAGAACCCTAGTAGAGCTGAAGGAACGTAATTCTTTTCCAAAGTCAGTCAGTAAAGATCAGAGGAGGTGAATATTACTTAAAATGTGAAGACAGCAATTCAAGACTTCTAGGAATATAAAAATATTCAAGTAAAAATGACACCACAAAATGGTCACAATAATTTTCCAGTAATTGATACCTAAAACATGGAGCTCTGCAAATTACCCAACAAATAATTCAAAAATAGCTGTTTTAAGGAAGCTCAATGAGCTACAAGAAAACACAGAAACACAATTCAATGAAATCAGGAGAACAATGCACAAACACAATGAGAAGTTCAACAAAGAGATGGAAGTAATAAAAAAAAGAACCTAAAAGAAATTGTGAGGTGAAGCATACAATGAATGAACTGAAAAATGCTACAGAGCAATAACAACAAAATGGACCAAGTAGAAGAAAGAATCTAAGAATTAGAAGACAGAAGAACATATACATTCAGAGAAAAAAGAAAAAAGAATGAAAAAGTATAAAAAAAGTGTATGTGATCTATGGGGTACCAGGAAAAGAACTAATTTGGGAATTATTGCAGTTTCTGAAGGAGATAGGAGGAAGAGGATATCAGAAAACTTATTTTTAAAAATAATGGTTAAAATCTTCTCAAATCAGGAGATTTAGCCATTTATGAAATCAATAATAAACAAGAAAATCAGAAAATTCACAATAATGTGGAAATTAAACAATACACTTCTGAAAAACAAATGGGTAAAGGAAGAAATCAAGAGGAAAATCAACACTATCTTAAAACAAATTAAAATGGAAACTTAACGCATCAAAACCTATGGGATGCAACTAGAACAGTAATGAGGAAAGGTTATAGTGGTTAAGTAAGCTTCTACATTATAAAAAGAAGAAAAATCTTAACTTTATATGTCAAGGAACTAGAAGGAGAAGAACAAACTAAGCCCAAAGTTAACAGAAGAAAGGAAATAATAAAGAATAGAGATGAAATCAACAAAATAGAGAATAGAAATCAATAAAATTGATTTTTGAAAAGATAAACAGTGATCTCACTTCTAGGAATATATCCTAAGAAACCTGAAACTCTCATCAAAAAGAATATATGCACCCCTACGTTCATAGCAGTACAATTTACAATGGCTAAGATTTGGAAATAGCCCATCAGCAGATGAGTGGATAAAAAAACTGTGGTACATTTACACAATGGAATACTAAGCGGCAATAAAAAAGAAAGAACTCTTACCACTTGCAACAGCATGGATGGACCCGGAGCTTATTATGCTGAGCGAAATAAGCCAGACAGACAAAGATTAAGTATCACATGAGCTCACTCATATGTGGAATCTAATGAACCAAATAAACTGATGAACAAAAATAAACCCAGAGACATAGAAGCATGAACAGACTGTTGAACCTCAAGAGGCAAGGCAGAGAAGGGTTGGTGGGAAGAGATCAACCAATGGACTTGTATGCATATATGCATAACCCGTGGACACAGACCATGGGGTGGTGAGGGCCAGGGGGTGGGGGCAGTAGGGGGCTGGAAGAGGTTAATGGGGGAAAAAGGAGGACCTATGTAACATTTTCAACAATAAGGTTTAAAAATAAAATAAAATAGAAAACTGAAAAACAAGGAAAAAATAAATAAAGGAAATGGATACATTCTTAAACACATACAACCTACCAAAACTGAATGATGCAGAAATTGAAAATATGAACAGATCAATTACAAGTTAGAAGAGTGAAGTAATAAAAAAAAACTCTGACCAGAGAAAAGCCTAGGGCCAGATGGTTTAAAGAACTAATGCTGTATCTGTCACATATGCCACCTGCTGCCAGGTCAGGATGGCTAGTTGGCCACATCTATTAAGTGCTTCCTCTACCACAGGGCCAGGAGGGGGGACTGGGCAGAGCAGGCTGGCCGGGCCCACAGCATCAGGGGCAGGGCTGTTGTGTCAGCCGGGCCTTTGGTCACATCCCCACACTGGGGGAAGCAGGAGTAAGGCAGGATAACTGAGAGCACCACCAGAACCAAGTGGAAATGGGGAAGGAAACTTCTCCAAGGAATGAGGGATGAGGTCATGGAAAGGGAAGAGATAGTGGTCAGATGTGTGTGGATGAAAATGAATCACAGCTGTGACACCGAGCACTGACCGGGCCCCATAGCCTTTGGCAGGGTGCTCTGAACTTACTGAGCCCTTGGGCACCAGGCATGTGGTCCAGTTGGAGTCACCAGCTTTGTGCAGCTCCCCTCACCAGCTCCATGAAGAGGGGGTGAGGCATTGTTAGCCAGAGAACCCAGAGAGCATGAGTCAGCTGCTGGGTCACAGCCCAGGTCCCTGCGGCAGGTCAGCCAGAGAAGAGAGGCTGACCCTGCTGAGAAGGGGGAGGGAGGGGGGGCGGAGAATGAACCCAGACTGGAGGTTAGAGGGCGAGGCCAGATGACAAACGCACTGGGAAGTGAGACCTTGTTCAGCCCTTGTCTTTCATGGCTCTCCCCTCCTAGAAGGTGCAGAGCAGACACAGTGAGCGGGGCTGGAGGGTGAGAAAACAGGGTGGGAATGTGAAGAGGCTGTCCCTCCCTTCCCACCGTAGGCTCTCCCAGGGCCTGAGACCGGACCAGCGGGCAGGCCAGGAGCTTTGAAGGGATGAGAGATTGAGCTTCAGATTGGCCTTTTCACTGCCAGAAAATGGAGACCTGGGTGACTAGAAAGACTGTGGGACTTGCAAGATTTCGTCCAGGAATAAAGAATGATGGCCCAAAGCAGGTTGGTTGGGGACCATGTGAGAGAACAGCGTTCTGCTTCCACCTGCACCCCATCAAGTCCAGTGCACCCAGTGAGCTGGTTATGATTATAAGCACCTTCTGTATGCCAAGCACGGTGCGGGGCATGAGGGACACAGCAGTGGACACAGCACCTGGCCTTGCTCCTCCTGCCCTGCCGGGGCTTCCCTTAGAGTGGAATCCCAGGTCTGTGCCTGCCCACCTGCCCCTTGGCAGCAAGACTGAGCCCCCTGTATTACTGAGATGGTGACTCCTGGATGCCCTCTGCTTGTCCTCCAGCTCCTAATACGGTGTGGGGTGGAGTCCTACATAAAAGTCCTTCCACAGGTCCCCACCCCAGCCCTTTATCGCACAGCCCTCCACAGTGTGGAAGTGTGTTCATCCAGGCAACTAACATTTACTAAACACCTACTATGTGGCAGGCCCTGGGCTAAATAAAATGAGGATGACGTGGAAAAAAAGCTTCCGCACAGCAAAATCACACAATAGCAGTTTCTGTTGTCAGATCAACTGTGAAGGTATCACAGTGCCTGTGTTCAAATAAGCCTTCCTTTATTGTTTCAATTGTTCTATTTTATTACTTGTTAATCTCTCACTGTGACTAATTTATAATTTAACTTCATCATAGGGATGTATGTATGTATAGGAGCAATCATAGCATATATAGGGCTCAGTACTATCTGTAGTTTCCAACATCCACTTGGTACCTTGGAAAGTACCCCCTGTACATAAAAGTGGAGCTACTGTAGCATTTACGTAGAGGTTGCGCATAGAATAAATTTTAAAAGTTCTCACCACACAAACACACCCAGAAAAGTAACTCTGTGAGGTGATGGAGGACTTAACTAATCTTATGGTGGTAATCATTTTGTAATATATATATATTTGTGATATATATATATATATATATATATATATATATATATATATATCAGTTTCTCATGTTGTCCTTTAACTTATATAATTTTACATGTAAATTATATCACAATAAAACTAGAAAAAAATTCAGGAAAAATAATTTGTACCATATAATTCTGCAACGTCCCAAACTATATACTACATATGAGGGGAGAATAAATATAATTTCAGTTGTGCCAAAATCTTAAAAAAATAAAAATTCCTTGTGTATATATATATATATATATATATGTAGGTGTGTGTGTGTATATGTATGTATGTGTGTGTGTATGTGTGTATATATATGTATGTGTGTGTATGTGTGTGTATGTATGGG